GTATGAAAGTTTCTGCCATAGCACTGCACTGTAGCACTGTCCTCCCGTTGTTCATTGATTTGCTCGAGCGGGCACCAGTAACGTCTCCATTGTGAGACTTGTTGTTACTGTGTTTGGCGTATTGAATACGGCACGGGGAGCTTGTCAGGCTTTGCCATGCGGATGAAATACTCTCAGTAGTCCTCCTGGGCTCTCCGAGAGGGGCAGAGGAATCGAACCTGGGCCGACCAGGTTGGCCGCGTGCAAGGCAAACATCCTACCCACTGTGCTATCGCTCCAGCCTCAGCTGAAAGTTTCTGCCATCCCACCATACAAATACAATGTGTGTGTTCACATCCTTACCTCTATCTTTGTGCCACCCGTTTCCTGCACTTAGCATAGTGTTCTGAGCCTGGCGAGGCAGAAGCGCCCTGATGCGCCCCCAACCCACCACATTCTGTTGTGTGTGCACGCATGTGTGTGTGTGTGTGTGTGTGTGTGTGTGTGAGAGAGAGAGAGAGAGAGAGAGAGAGAAAGAGAGAGAGAGAGAGACAATGTTTCAATAATGGAAACTTCTCCTGATGTGATCCCAGGCGGCTAAACCACCCACAGATCCCGAGTGTGCCGAGGGCAATGCCAGCCAGGCCTGGCAAGGACTTTCTGAGCCTACACAGCATGGAAACAGCCTGTCTCCAGCCTGGGCGAGGGGGGGGGTCCTCCCCTCTCTGTGCCACCCTGAGCCCTCCCTATGTTCCCATGGGCGTGGCTGCCAGGTCATCCAGCTCATTCTACTGGACGCTTCTAATCTCACCCGCCAAGAAGTCTCCTCTAAAATGGGGCATGGCTAGGGGTGGGAGACAAGAGGATGCCCCCTGCGGGTGACGTTGTCTTTGTCCTCCCCTGGACAGCAGGGCACTCACCTGCTGAAGGCTAAGCCGGGAGGTCAGTCCCAGAGGCACCAGTGACAGGTTCAAGAGTTGTAGCCCTGGGCAGGGGCAGAGCTGACGGCTCTAGCCGGGAGCACAAAGGCTGAACAGAGATCTGCGGAGAGACGGGACCGGGACATAAGCTGAGCTGGCATCAAGGGACAGGGCAAGCGATGTTGTGCCCGGGTGAACCATCTATCTCCTTGAAGGGCTCAATCCACTGGCTTCGGTTGGGATTGGGGTCACATCGGACAGCGCTCGGAGCTTATTCTTGGCTCTGCACTCGGGAATCACCCCTGGCATTTCTCTGGGGGTGCACAGTGGGTGCTGGGGATCAAAGCCTTGCAGGGTGGGCTGCTTCCCCACTGTCCTAACAATCCAGCCCAACCTGAATGCTTATTGATTGATTTACTTGCTTTTTTTGGTCACTCCCAGCGATGCGCAGGGGTTACTCCTGGCTCTGCACTCAAGAATTACTCCTGGCGGTGCTCGGGGGACCATATGGGATGCCGGGGATCGAACCTGGGTCGGCCGCATGCAAGGCAAATGTTCTTCCTGCTGTACTATCGCTCCGACCCCATGAAAACATTTTTGAGAGCAAAAACTGACTTCCCCTCTCCGCCATCTGACCCCAGTGCTACCATCAGTGACCCCCTTTCCCAATTGCCTGCAAGGAACTGGCTCAGCCTCACTCATCCAGGGCAGGGAGCACCCCACGGCAACTCTGAGAGGCGGCTGGGCATCCCCAGAGAGGAGGCGGAAGGGACACTGACCTGACAGCATCCACGGCCGCTCCTTCCTGCCTTTTTCTGGGGCCATGTGCCCTTTGCTGAGAGACAGTGGGGGACCTGGCACGGGCCGGGGGGGGGGCAGTGCTCCCGCGGCTTCGGGTCCTTGAGGGCCTGACACTTTTCTGCAGTCTTTTTGCCCTAATAAACACCCTGCTCCCTGTGTGTTTGTCTCAGAGGCAAATATTCCAGCGCTTTCTGGGAAGAAGCTTCTGAGAAGCAGGAGAGACACCCCCACACACACACTGCCAGGAAGGGCCAGTGGCTGCACCTCCACGTGAACAGCCGTGGACAGCCGAACTTGGCCTGCCGCGATCCCTGGGGGGGGGGGGGGGGGGGGAAGCCAGACGCTTCTAATATTGTTTTCTCTGCCGGCCTTGGAAGAAGAATGTGGACGATCACTTCCTCTGGGCTGGGTGAGTGCATGGCGCTTCCTCCTCTTTGCTGTCAACAACGACTAAGTGAGGCTAAGGGCCTTCTGGGCGCTCTGCCTTTAGCTCACGTCATGCTCGCCATGACCTCTGCAGGACCGTCTGCGCCACCTGCCCATCAAGATTAAGCATCCGCTTTGTGTGTGTGTGTGTGTTTTGGCTTCGGGGGCTACACCCACAGATGCTCAGGGTTACTCCTGGCGCTGTACTCAGGGACCACTCCTGGGCCAGAGCCATAGTACAGTGGTCTGGGGAGTGTCTTGCTCATGGCCAACCTGGGTTGGAACCTAACACCACATATAGTCACCCGAGCACCTCCAGAAATAATTTCTTTTTGTTTGTTTGGGGGTTGCATCCTTGTGATGCTCAGGGCTTTACTCCTGGTTCTGTGCTCAGGATCATATCTGGTGGTCTCAGAGGACCATATAGGGTGCTGGGGATCAAACCCGGGTGGGCCATGTCCAAGGCAAATGCTCATCCTGCTGTACTATCGCTCTGGCCCGGGATGATTCCTGAGTATAGAGCCAGGAGTGAGTCCTGAGTGTCTCCAGGTGGATCCTCAAACAAACGAACAAAAAGAATCACTCCTAGCGGTGCTCAGGGACCATATGGGAAGTCGGGGATCGAATCCCGGTCAGGTGTGCAAGGCAAACGCCCTCCGTACTATTGCTCAAGCCCCCAAACCTCTGCGTTACCTAGAACCACCTGTCTGAGCTTGGCAAGACCTGAGGGCAGGCGCTATCTTTTCTTGAAAGTTCTAGAATAAACCCTACGATGCTTCCTGGGCCCAGTGAAAAGCTGCCTGAGGTCAGGGCATGCCCCACTGGCCCACAGAGGGGCTTCCCAGCAACTCTGGACTGGAAGGACAGCAGGCGGGTGGACAGGCAGCTCAGGGAGAAGGGGAGGGAAATGTCACCCGTGGCTACCCCCTGAGGTCCAGCGCTGAGTCCTCGAATCCAGTCTCTTGGGGGCTAAATAGACACATGGGTTTATTTTTAAATCTGGACCCAGAATCTTGACCGTCTTTGGAAATGAGAGACCGAGGGTCAGAGGAGGGAACCAGAGCAGTTTTAAACAGATCCACAGATACACTGCTCCAGCCTTCCTCCAGAGACTGCCCAGGCTCTGGTGCTGGTCAGCTCCTCCGCAGAATCTCGGCCCGAGGCCAGGGGATCAGCAACTGAGTCTCTGCTGGAGAGCAGGTTGTTTATTATGCTGATCTTCTGAGTTCAGAGAGGCCCAGAAGCGTTTGAACTGTCTGTTCCTGTGCCCTTCCTCCAAACAGCAGTAGGAGCTGGTCCTGCTGATTTTTTTTTTTTCTGTTCGCTAAATCAGTCTTATGAAGTCTTTCTTGTTTCGTCAAAATAAAAACAAAGGGCTGGAGTGATAGCACAGCGGGTAGGGCGTTTGCCTTGCAGGCGGCCCGACCCGGGTTCGATCCCCAGCATCCCATATGGTACCCTGAGCATGGCCAGGAGTAGTTCCTGAGTGCATGAACCAGGAATAACCCCTGAGCATCGCCAGATGTGACCCAAAAAGCAACAACAACAAAAATAAATAAATAAAGCTACAATTTCAGGAACTGAAGAGATAAAGTGCTTGCCTTGCATGCGGCTGGTCTAGATTTGGCCAACCCTGTTCACTTCCCACCACCACATATGGGTCAGTCCACTGAGCACTGCCAGGAGTGAACTCTAAATACAGAGCCTGGACAGGGGGCTGCGGGCTCAAGCAGCAGAGCTGCTCATGGTACATGTGTGACACCAGGATTTGAACTCGGAACCAAATACTTGCAGAATAGATGCTCTAATATTTCTCTGATTCCCTCTTTTGAGTTTTATTTATTTCTTATTAGGAATGAGGGGCCACATCGAACAGTGCTCAGGCTCTGAACTCAGGGATCATTCATGGCCCAGAAGACCATATAGGGTGCTGAGAATTGAACTTGGGTCAGATGCAAGCCAGGCAAACTCTCTGCACACTGTATTATTGCTTCGGCTGTGCCTCTTGAGTTTTAAAATCTGGAGAGTCGACCCTCTTCCCACTCTGCAGACCCCCTGTGGCCAGCTGAGGGTTGCGGGGGGGGGGGGGGGGGGGGGGGGGTACGCTTGAATGGATAAGAAGGGCGGTATGGGGGGGGCTGGAGGGAGGGAGGAGGAGGAAGTTAAGTGGGATGGGGTGGAGACGCCTGTGTGTTCCTTGGCAGGTAGAAGTTGGGGTCCCCCAGCAAAACGTTTCCTGCGAGGAGTGACATTGTTGGGGTTCAGGGGGCTGACTGGGCTATGTGGGAGGTGGCAGATGCCTCGAGGCTGGAGGATCTTAGGAAACGGGGTGTAAATCTTGAGGGGAGGAGACCACGTCGGGATCCTGGGGGCCACCCTTTGGGCGCCGTTAGAGCAAAGTTGGGGCTCTGCGGGGACGTGGGGTCCCAAGGAGAACGCTGGGCTGGACGGCAGTCTCCTCGGAGGCACCCACGCCCCCTAGTGACCTTCTCGCGGGCGTGCCCCCCACCCGAGCCAGGCGGGGCCAGAGACGGGGCGGGCTGCTCTGGGCCAGTCGCGCTCAGCTCCCCCCACGGCGTCGGTTGGTCTGTCTGTCCGTCCGGCTGAGGTCCAAGGACGCCTGTGCAGCCCTCGCCGCTTGCGTCTGGCAGGCATGTAGGTGAAGGGGATGCGGGTCCTGCTGCTGGACGGGCGCGCTGGGGAGTCCGGAATTGGACCGCGCGTCCCGGGGAGCTGGAGAGGGGCGCGCTGGGGAGTCCCGGGCTTGGACCGCGCGTCCCGGGGAGCTGGAGAGGGGCGCGCTGGGGAGTCCCGGGCTTAGGCCGCGCGCTTCTGGGAGCTGGAGAGGGGCGCGCTGGGGAGCCCCGAGCTTAGAGCGCGCGCCCCGGGGAGCTGGAGAGGGGCGCGCTGCGGAGCCCGGGCTTGGACCGTGAGGTGGGAGCCCGGGATCTGCACGGGGGCGCCTCGCAGCAGCGGCGAGCCCGGATGGCACGGTGAGGACCCCGGGATGGATGGGAAGCGATGCGGAGCCCAGGGTGTGGATCCGCGCGGCGGGAGAGCGTGGGGCGAGTGTCCCCCAGCCAGGAGGGGTCTGAGGACCCATCCGGGCTTCCCCTCCCCGGGTCACTGTTTCTGGGGGTTTCCGTCCGGGGAGGAACCTGGCTGCGGCTCTAGCGTGACGACCCTCTCCGAAGTCTCTGGCGCTTTCCCTGCTCTGGTGTCCACAAGTGCTGGGGATGAAAATGCGCCCTGGTCAGGGGGCCGGATGCTAGGACAGTAGGTAGGGCATGGTGATCCCCGGCCCCGCACATGGTCCCCCGAGTCCACCAGGAGGGATCCCTGAGCACAGAGCCAGGAGTAAGCCCTGAGCACCGCTGAGGGTGGCCCAAACCCCACCCTCCTGAGAAAGAAGCTAAGAGCTGCAGAGAAGCCGCAAATCGGGAAAGAGCAAGGCTGGATTCGAGTCGTTGTTCCTGGAGCCTTTGCCCTTAGGGTGCAGCGGGGTTGGATGGTTCCCATATCAGGAGTGATTCCCGAGCACAGTCAGGAGTGATCCCCGAGCACAGTTGCATGTGGCCCCAACGACCAGTCCAGTGAGATTCTACCCTTGTCTCCTATTTTTTTGGGGGGTGGGGGTCACACCCCGCGATGCACAGAGGTCAGTCCTGACTCTGCACTCAGGAAATTACCCCTGGTGGTGCTCAGGGGGACCATTTGGGATGCTGGGATTCAAACCCGGGTCGGCCGCGTGCAAGGCAAACGCCCTACCCGCTGTGCTATTGCTCCAGCCGCCTTGTCTCCTATTGACGGATGCCCACAAAGTCTCTCCTAAGTCCACGGCTTAATTTTATTTTTTTTTCTTTTTGGGCCACACCCGGTGATGCTTAGGGGTTACTCCTGGCTCTGCACTCAGGAATCACTCTGGTGTTGCTCAGGGGAACCATATAGAATGTTGGGGATTGAACCCGGGTCAGCTGCATGCAAGGAAAATGCCCTACCTGCTGTACTATTACTCGGGTCCAGTCCACAGTTTAAAAAGGGACAAACGGGCTGGAGCAATAGCACAGCGGGTAGGGCGTTTGCCTTGCACGCAGCCTACCGGGGTTCGATTCCCAGCATCCCATCTGGTCCCCTGAGCACCGCCAGGGGTAATTCCTGAGCACAGAGCCAGGAGTAAGCCCTGTGCATTGCCGGGTGTGACCCAAAAAGCAAAAAAAAAAAGGGACAAACAGGGACCGGAGCGATAGCACAGTGGGGAGGGCGTTTGTCTTGCACAGGGCCAACTGGGGTTCGATCCCGGCATCCCATATGGTCCCCCAAGCACCGCCAGGAGTCATTCCTGAGTGCAGAGCCAGGAGTGACCCCTGAGCATCGCTGGGTGTGACCCAAAAGGCAACAAAAATTTTTTAATTAAAAAAATTAAAAAATAATAAAAAGAGACAGACAGGACCAGATGACGGGATGCTCTAGGGTCTCGGGGTCTTTCAGACGCCCTCTCCCATCTCTTGTTTCTCTGTCGCTGATGACGCTGCCACATCTCCTCCAGAGCTGGGCACCAGTCGCCCTGCGTGACCGCTCCAGGCACCCCTGTCTTCCATTCCACAGGCTTCTCTCTGGAACCCCCACTGGGCCCCCCTCCGTGGAGCAGGAAACCTCGGTCCCCTGCAATCTCTCGGAGGACTTGAAAAACCTGACCCTCGAGGAACTGAAAGTCAAGTTCCTGGGGCCACAGCAGTACCACCACTTCGTGCCCATCTGTGTCACCTACCTGCTGATCTTCGCCGTGGGCGTGGTGGGCAACGCGCTGACCTGCGCGGTCATCCTGCGCCACAAGACCATGCGCACCCCCACCAACTACTACCTCTTCAGCCTGGCCGTGTCCGACCTGCTGCTGCTGTTGGCAGGGCTGCCCATGGAGCTCTACGAGCTGTGGCAGAACTACCCCTACCTGCTGGGCGTCGGCGGCTGCTACTTACGCACGCAGCTCTTCGAGATCGGCTTCCTGGCCTCGGTGCTCAACGTCACGGCGCTGAGCGTGGAGCGGTACGTGGCCGTGGTGCACCCGCTGCGGGCCCGGAGCCTGGTGACGGGGGCCCACGTGCGCCGCGTGCTGGCAGCCATCTGGATCCTGGCCACGCTCTCGGCCGTGCCCAACACCAGTCTGCAAGAGGTCAAGGAGCTGGAGGTGGACTGCTGGGGGCTGGTGCCCGACACGTCCTCGTGCACCGTGGCCGAGTCCCAGAAGGACCTCTACAACCTGGTGGTGCAGGTGACCACGCTGCTCTTCTTCTTCCTGCCCATGGGGGTCATCAGCGTGCTCTACCTGCTCATCGGGCGTCAGTTGCAGCGGGAGCGGCTGCTGGCGCCCGGGCAGGGGGCGGGGCCCGACGACAGCTCCAAGAGGTCATCCCTGAAGGAGCGCGGGCGGACCCAGGTCACCAAGATGCTGTGTAAGTGTGTCCGAGCGCGGGGCAGCGGGGTGGCGGCAGGGGAGGGGTTGCTTTCTGGAACCTGGGAAGGGGTGAGGCTGAGTGGTTTGTTTTTTTTTTTTTGAGCCCGCACCACGTGGCCCCGAGCATGCCTGGGGGTGACAGACAGGAGCTGACCCGGAGCCCCCAAACGCAGACATGAGGAGCTCTGGGAAGGCAGGGGAAACTGAGGCTCTGACAATCCCTGGTCCCTATCCCCAATCCCGCAGGGCCTGCCTGGGGCTGGCGGGACCCTGGACAGAGCGTCACTGTCATAACTAGCTAGACCCTATCCCCAGAGAGAGACCCTGTCCCTCCCCCCATCCAATTTCACCTCAGAAACACTGTCCCCGAGCCCAGGGACCCCCTCCTCGCATAGGGCGGTACCCCTGAGTTCTGAGTTCACGCTACAACCCCTCTGTCCCCCCCCCCCCCCCCCGCCGGGGATGGTCTGTCACCTCGAACCCTGGGAGGGTGGAGTGTTCCCTTTCCAATCTCTTCTCCTCTTTTTTCTTTTTGGGTCACACCTGGCAATGCTCAGGGGCTACTCCTGGCTCTGCATTCAGGAATCACTCCTGGCAGTGCTCGGGGACCATATGGGATACTGGGGCTCGAACCCGGGCCAGCCACATGCAAGGCAAACGCCCTCCCCGCTGTGCTATCGCTCCAGCCCTCTCTCTCTTTTCCTCTTGCACCACGTCAGCCTCTGACCACCTCTTGACCACGGGAATTCTGACACCCGCAACTCCGAGCAACACGGCAGCTTAGGCAGGAGAAATGGGCACAGTGTCAGACTTGCTGGGACAGGGCCGAGTCCTCAGGAAAGCAGGGTTGAGTTTGGGGCCGAATACTCAGCTGGGAACTGGGCCTGGGTAGGGAGCGCCTGGTGGGCGCAGTGTGGGGATGCGGGTGTGGCTGCCTCTGGTCCCCACCTCTGGCCACAGCTGTGTGAGCTCGCGCCCTGGCGTCTGTCCCCCGCAGAGACCCCCAAGTCGCCCAGCCCAGCGCGCTACCCCGTTAGCCCCTTCCAAGCTCCCAGGGGAGACGCGGTGGGCTCAGGCATGCAGGCCTGGTGCTACCAGCCACCCCCTGCCTCCAACCAGTGACCTCGGTGGGGGAAGCAACATTCTAGAATGTTCCAGGTGGGCCACATGGATTAGGACAGGTGGAACCCGTTGGGTGCTGTGACGGCTCTGGCAGACCCCCAGAGGTCCCCCTCTATGCCTGCAGTTGTGCTGGTCGTGTTGTTTGCCGTCTGCTGGGCCCCATTCCACACCGAGCGCCTGCTGTGGAGTTTTGTGACCGACTGGACTCCCGACTCCAAGGAAGCCTACGAGTATGTGCACATCTTCTCAGGCGTCCTGCTCTACGTCGGCTCGGCCGCCAACCCCGTGCTCTACAGTCTCATGTCCACCCGCTTCCGGGAGACCTTCCAGGATGTCCTCTGCCTGGGCTCCACCTGCCGGGCGGCCCCTGGCCATGGCCACAGCATCAGCCGAGTGGCCACGGGTACCACCCTGTTTGAGCTGGGCTCCACAGGCGGCAAGGGCCACCCTCTGGCCGAGAACGGGGACCCGCAGCAGAATGAACCCCTGCCCAGTGGGCCTGGGTCTGCTTCCCTCAGCACCGCAGGGGGCCCCAGTGGCATTGCGACGCCTTCTCCACCTGACCCTGTTGGTGGGCCCTCTCGCTTCCGCCTGGGGACGGACTAGCAGCCCGTGGCCTGCCTACATCACTGCCTGGGCGGGAAATACAAGTGGCTTGTTGCCCCCCGCATGCCCCTCTGCAGAAACAGCCCGGGCACAGCACGCCTCGCACCCCTGTTTCCGAAAGGCTCCTCCCCGGCTCCTCCTCGCTGTTGTACTGCGTCTGGGACCCTCGCCCACCCTTAGCCCCTGTACCCAGCAGCTCCTCCAGTCCCCAGCCCAGCCCTTTCTGCTCTGGGGTCTCCTCCACCAGAGGGCCAGCTGGTTGCAGGGGTGCAGGAACCGGGCCCCAGCTCAGCCCAGCCGCCCACCTGGCGCATGGGACGGAGTAGGCAGCCTCCCAGGAGGCCTCTCCTTGCATGGCCTTGCAAGATGAAAACAGCCGTGCCCGCCCCACGCCTGCCCTGGCCACGGCTGTAGCTTCTATGCATGCTCACAAATCGCCTGAAACCAAGGTGGCCGCTTCCCCCCACCCCTGCCCGTCTTCTCAGGGGTGCTCCCAGGCCAAGAACGGTAGGACCAGGCACCTCCCAACAGAGGCCCCCGCCTCCACCCTCACCTCTGCCGGTTTGTACCCTATGGGCCCGGGAAATGCACCAGGTCAAGGCTGGGAGTGAGCCTTGGGAAGTCTTTTTTTTTTTCCATTTTGGGTCACACCCGGCAATGCACAGGGGTTCCTCCTGGCTCATGCACTCAGGAATTACTCCTGGCGGTGCTCGGGGGACCGTATGGGATGCTGGGACTCGAACCCGGGTCAGCCGCGTGCCAGGCAAACGCCCTCCCTGCTGTGCCATCGCTCCAGTAGGAACTGCCTTATTTGAGCCTCTGTGCGGGGGCGGGGGGGGAGAGGGAAAGGCAGACCCGCAGTCTGCAGGGTCCACTCAGGCCGGGTCCCTGGCTCCCCTGCTGGCTTTTGGGGGTCGCGTGGGGGTGGTTCTGAACCTGGTCATATCTAGTCCCCACGAGAACGGTGGAGCCGACAAGGAAACAGCTGCGTCCCAGAGAGCTGGAACTCAAGAGAGAAAATCCATGGTTCACGGTGTTGGAAATTTAGACAGGACGGGAGCGATAGTCCAGCAGGGAGGGCGCTTGCCTTGCACATGGTCACCCAGGCTCAATCCCCCTGCACCCCATATGGCCCCCAAGCCCACCAGCAGGGATCTTTGAGTGAAGAACCAGGAGTAAAGCCCTGAGCACCTCTGGGTATGGCCCCCAACAGCAATTTGGACTGGGCAAGTCATCAAAAGAGAAAATGGAAAAGAGGCCTGGCCTCTGTCCCGGGCTCCTCAAGCCTCTTCTAGAACACCTGCCGATAGGGCCACCCCCCTAACAAGAGAAACAACGAAAATCCCCGTTATCAGGGGCCGGACTTGGAGATTACCCAGTGGCTGTGGAGCCCGCGCTTTGCACGATGAAAGAAAACAGCGTCGGTTGTGGGTATTTTACCACAGTTGGGAGGGGGAGGAAGCAGGTGGGGAACCTTTAGGCCGTTTGTGTTTGTGTTACATCATTTGCCGTGAGATACGGGTGCAATGCGGGCAGCTGATGAGAAGTATCCTGTCCGTCCTGCCGCGTGCTAGAGTCGGAACATGAGGGACTGGTCCTTAGATGGCCTGTGTGCCTGATGTCCCCCACCCCTGGTAAAGAAAAGAAAAAACAGGTGCTGGGAATGTTGGACATCTGCAGGTGTGGTCTGGGGCTGTAGGCCTGACTGGGTTCAATCCCCAGCACCACACGGTCCTCTGAACACCACCACGTGGAACCCTTTTTTGGTTTGGTTTTGGTTTTGGGGTCACCCCTGGCGGTGCTCAAGGCTTGCTCCTGGCTCTGCACTCAGGGATCACTCCTGGTGGACCATACGCGGTAGCAGGGATTGAACCCAGGTCGGCCCCCTGCAAGGCAGCACCCTCCCCTCCGTGCCTCCGCTCCAGCCCCCACGTGTAGCCCTGGAGGGTTCAAGCACCTCCAGGTGTGGTTCTGGTGGTCTCCCCAAGCATCACTGGGCATCCCAGCAGCCGCAGTATACTTGTGCTCAGGTATCAGACCTCTGGTCCAGTTGCACAAGTACCACCAAGTACCGCCAGATGTGGCCCCTGAGTGGCCTGAGCACTGCTTGGGAGCGATCCCTCATAGCCAACAAAGCCAAAGACCCAGAAGAGAAAAAGCAGGTTACCGTTCTTCCTGGAGAAATAGCTAAGAGGAAGAAGAACCTCCGGCTCCGGGCACATCTCTTTGATTCCACTGTTCTTCCTGCATTAACATATGCCTCAGAGACCTGGGCCCTACGCAAACAGGACAAGAACGCTATTCAGGTCTCCCAAAGAAGAATAGAAAGAGCTATGCTTGGAATATCACGTTTCACTCAAATGAGAGAAAAAATCCGGAGTTCCAACATCCGTTGACAATCAAGAATCAGGGACGCTGTCTCGTTTGCCAAGGTGTCAAAAATCAGATGGGCTGGTCACGTAATGAGATTTAAAGATGACCACTGGACTAGAGCCGTTACCAACTGGATTCCACGGGATGTCAAAAGACCGCGTGGCCGCCCACCTACCAGATGGTCAGACTTCTTCATCAAGATCATGAACGATCGGTTTGAGGCTCTTCATGTTCCTAGAGCGAACAGACGCTATTGGGCTACACTAGCACGCGACAGGGACAAATGGAGACGTTACTGGCGCCCGCTCGAGCAAATCGACGATTAACAGAAAGTTAAGTGATTAAGTGACCGTTCTTCCCGGGGGACGGGGATCCTTTGGAGCAACCTGGGAAATGGGTTAATGGGGAACCTGGGGGAGCCCAGCCTCGGGGGAGCCTGGCCCTTGAGACTCTCTGGACTGACCCCACATCTGCTCCGTGCTCCCCTCGGCCAGCCGCTGGCCAGGCTGCTGAGGGCTGCTGTCTGTACACCCCCAGAGCCTTGCGGGAGCTTGCCCAGGGCCCATGCGCTCTTGCATGTGGAAGACGGTCCAGTCACTCTGGGCTCAGCCCTGGGGGTGGGGGGCTCTTTGCCCGGGTCGGGCAGGGCGGCATTCTCTGGACACCCCGGGCCTGTCCCCCAGACCACGAGTCTGCAAATCCTGAAAAACCTGGCTCCCCTGGGTGGCCGCCTCCCCTCCCTGCCTCCTGACATGCAGCTCCTGCCTGGCTGGACCTCATGGGCCCTTCCAGATCCTTCCAGACTCTTCGTTCCTGAGGGGGGCGCTCTCGCCCCATGCCAGCCTCACGGGTTTGCCTTTAGCGGGCTGTCCTGGCTGAGCTAGCTCGCCCTTGCCAGTCCCTTCCTCCCCACTCACCTCCCAAAGAGAGCCCGTGTCTGGCCAGCATACCATCCCTTAGGTCAGTATTTCCAAAGGCGACCCTCAGAATGAGGGTCAGGGGAATGAGACCCATTGCATTTACTGGGTTCTAATAACATGACATTGTTCTAAAAACACCAAACATTAGCCAAGCGGCACAAATGCTGGCCGACTTGGACCGTGAGTATGGAAAGGCCGGACTACAGCTGAATCTTACGAAGACAATGTTTATGAGAAACAGCCTCGTTCCTGATGCTCGATTCACTATCAACGGAACGACCATCTCCGAATGCAACAGTTATATATGCCTAGGTCGAGAAGTGAACATGATGAATGACCTGGCATCTGAGTTGCGCAGAAGGAAGAGAGCAGCTTGGAACACCTTCAAGAATGTCGAAGAAATAGCTAAGAGGACGAAGAACCTCCGGCTCCGGGTACATCTCTTTGATTCCACTGTTCTTCCTGCATTAACATACGCCTCAGAGACCTGGGTCCTATGAAAACAGGATGAGATCGCTATTCGGGTCTCCCAAAGAGGAATTGAAAGAGCTATGCTTGGAGGATCACGCTTCACTCAAATGAGAGAAAGAATCCGGAGTTCTGACCTCCGTGGATGGTCAAGAATCAGGGACGCTGTCTCGTTTGCAAGGTGCTGAAAAATCAGATGGGCTGGACACGTAATGAGATTTGGAGACAACCACTGGACTCGAGCCGTTACCGACTGGATTCCACGGGATGTCAAAAGACCGTGTGGCCGCCCACCTGCAAGATGGTCAGGCTTCTTCATCAAGACCCTGCCTGAATGATCGGTTTGAGGCTCATCTGTTCCTAGAACGAACAGAGGTCACTGGGCTACACTAGCACACGACAGGGACGGATGGAGACATTACTGGCGCCCGCTCAAGGAAATCGATGAATAACGGGAAGTCAAGTGATCAAGTGACCCTCAGAATGTTCTAGAATCACCCTTGTTTTGCTTTCTTTAGGATTTGGGTTTTTGGGTTTTTTCTTTTTGGGTCTCACCCAGTGAAACTCAGGGGTGACTCCTGGCTCTGCACTCAGGATGTCGGATGCCGGGGAACGGACCTGGGTTGTCCGCATGTAAGGCCCTATCCACTGTACTATCATCGCTCCGGCCCCTTCTTTGGGATTTTGGAGCTGGAGGTAGGTCTCAGGGAAGAAAGTTGCAAGGAGCCCTTCCTGCCCTGTGTCTGCTCAGGAGAATCTGGGGTGCTGGCCCCTGGGTGCTGGCCCCCTCACTCGGCACACTCTCACTCTCCTCTATTCTTGACTTTTAGTGAGCCCACAGCTTCCTCTGTCTGGGGAAGACTGAGCCCATTCCCTTGAGAAACAAACTGCTTTAATTTTGGCTTGGCATCCAGGATGTGTATATTCAAGTAACAGAAAAACAGGACGAAAGACGCGGTGGATCAATAAGGAGTGAAGCCAACCATTAATTTTTTTTTTTTAGTTTCCGCATCAATTAGTTGATCAACTACTTGATTGATTGTTTGACTACTTTATTCTTTGTTTATTTTTGGTTTCCGTTTAACTGTTGTTTAACTACTTCATTTTTTTTTTTTTTTTTTGCTTTTTTGGGTCACACCCGGAAACACACAGGGGTTACTCCTGGCTCATCTCATGCACTCAGGAATTACCCCTAGCGGTTCCCGGGGGACCATATAGGATGCTGGGAATCGAACCCCG